ACAGCTGTACTTGCACGTTTCTTCTATATATATACGTAAACTGCAAAAACACAATTACAAAACACCGTAAGAAATCAGCTAATCAAATATTAATGCCATCAAACTTACTAATTTCTACTCAGACATAAAACCCAATAACCGTACGGTGCTGCCCATGTCGGTAATATGACGAACTAAATGATATTTTATCCAGCGTGTAATGCCTTACTAATGTCACTTCTGTGCCATCAAACTGACCACAAAACACATGCATGCACGAACCTCAAAGCATATGCAAAACACTACCAGAGTAAGCCTAGAGGTCTTATTTTATCGTTAATCATGATATCTCAACCAAATATGATCGGCAGGTAAATACACCTTTACCATGGCGGCAAAGTCACTGAAATTCTGCCATTGAAAATTGCGATATTAATTTTACTCTCTACTATAACTTTACAATCGTACGACGGCACAATAGCCATGATTACTTCGATCTACAATATCTAATCTCTCACTCACCTCTATTTGAGGGACTGACTCTTCTGTTTGAACCAAAAAACCGATCACTGCATGTGTGTCCCACGACTCACAGTCCCCCTATATATACGCATATATAGCACCGACTCCTACGGCTATCGACAACGCCTAGGATATACTCAACATACTAGGTCTATGTGATTATTATGTGATTATTACGTCGTCATTGTTTGTATATAGGTGAACATTTCTATGTACATGAATAGAGAGGCATATGATTTGCGCATGTATAATTATATTATAAAACCAAGCTTATGCTTTCGCTGCAGCTGCCGCTCGTTATATGAAGCCGCTGACGCATAATAAAATACAATTCATAATAAAACTTATACATCACAGTGTAGAAGTAGACGGTGTTGACACTTTTATTGATATTTTCATTGAACTTGCAAAGAAGAGCAGCTCAATGCAGCTGAGCTGTTTCATTGTATTCCTGGTAACGGATCACAACCACGTTTATAATTTAACGACAACTTAACTACAACACAATTAAATT